TGCGGGGAAGTGGCTGCAGGGGGCCGCCTGGGCTGAGCCCCCTGCACCGCACAGCTGGGCTGTGCACGCCTGCCGGTCCATGTGCAGCTGTCCCTGCCAGCGGCCTGGAACTAACGGGACCGTGTTGGGTTCTGTGACAGTTTGGCACTTACAGCGAGTCCGAGAGGAAGACAGAGGAGTACGACACTCAGGTGAGTGGCGGGGGTGGGAGGGGACGCCAATCAGCCTGGGCTCTCGGACTTGGGGGCAGGCTCCGGGGCGGCTCCACGTCCCGGCCTCGCAGGAAAGCCGGGCCCGGTCTTCGCGGGCGGTCAGGAGGCCTCCTCCTCTCCTGTAACGAGATTTATTTCTGGGGAGTTAGCGGTACGTGCTGTGATCTCCCGTGGTCACCGAGACCCCGGTGACCCTCATCGTCCCCAACCCCCCTGTGCAGGTGTAGCTGCAGCTTTCGGGTTGCCCGGAGACAGCTCCCTTGTGGGGACGGTGTTACTTGCCGCTCGGATGGGCACGTGTTTGTGTGCCAGGGCCAAGGCAAAGCTCAGGGTCAGCATGGTGACGAGCCCCAGCCCCCGAGGGCACTTCGTGCACACGGCTCTAGCCGGGCGTCTCCAGATCCGTTTCCCATCGCTCCTGATCAGTGACCGGGTGTTCACAAGCCGGACGGATGCTGTGAACGTCCGTGCGGTATCAGGCCTAGCTTCTGGAGCCTCGTTCTGCAGGTGTCTGCCGTCCCAGCAGCATCCAGACTTGGTTCCCCAAGGCCGTTGGCCTGTGTGCCCTCCTTGCCGGTTCCCCTGTCCCGGACTCAGGTCCCCAAGGTCGTGGCCCATGTGCCCTCCTTGCCGGTTTCCCCGTTGCGAGTTGGCTTGTCACAGAGGCTCCGTGTTCCCGGCAGGCCATGAGGTACCTCTCCTATCTTCTCTACCCCCTGTGCATCGGTGGCGCCGTCTACTCCCTGCTGAACGTCAAGTATAAGAGGTAGGACGAGCCAGCCTCCGTGCTGGCAGCCAGGGACGCCCCTTGGCCTCCGTGCTGGGCCTGCCCCTCCTCCCCCACCCACCCCGCCCGGGAGACACACGGCCCGCCCAGGGGGCACAAGGCCGGCATGTGGTATTCCCCAGGCCTGTTCCCCAGCAGCGGGCACGGAGGTGCAGGTGTCCGGGGCCCTGGTGTCAGGAACGAGGGCGGACGTGTCTGGCGAGGGGAGCCTAGGGCGGGTGGCCTGGCCACTGCGTTGAACCCTGCCCGGGCTGGCCCTGAGGGCTGGGGCTTCTGACGGAGGACACCGGCCAGTTCAGCCCTGCAGCTACCACCTCACGCTTATGCTCCGGGAAGAGGGCTGTCCCCGCGGGTCCCCCCACCAGCACTGCAGTTTCGGGAGACGGGCGCCGCGGGACAGGGGCGGTGATCACGGTCTCTCTCTTGCAGCTGGTACTCTTGGCTGATCAATAGCTTCGTCAACGGTGAGTTGTGGGGATTCGGCTCCGCCAGTAGCGCCCGTGGCTGTTCCTTGTGGTTCCCGCACATGGCCCGTGTGGTTCGAGGACGGGCAGGCAGGACCTCTGCCGCCAGCCACCCCTGCTCCCTTTGGCGGGGCCCCCCGACACCTGGTTTGTCTACGGCGGCCCCGCTCAGGCTGCCCGTGAAAACAGTTTGGGGCGGGTGGGCGTGCGCTGATCGGCGTGCAGTTTCGAGGCGGCCTCTGGGGCCCATGAGCCCTGTGTGTGGGCTGGGTCTGCATCCTCGGAGGGCACAGACCCAGGACCTGACGGGCCTGGCTTCCTCGCGGGCACTCGCGGGCCCGAGCCGTCTGTGCGGAACACGGTGACAGGCAGCCGCGCTGGGTGGTGGGAGGGGCCGCTGGCAGAGAGCCGGTCTCTGGAGATGGACCCGGGGCCACCCCAGCCTGCCGTCTTTCTCCCCAGGGGTGTACGCCTTCGGCTTCCTCTTCATGCTGCCCCAGCTCTTCGTCAACTACAAGGTAAGACCACGCCCTCCCCGCGCTCGCCCGCGTCCTCCCTACGCCGGCCGCTGATCTGCCGCGTCTCGCCCCCCAGATGAAGTCGGTGGCGCACCTGCCCTGGAAGGCCTTCACCTACAAGGTCAGTGCCCCCCCGCCCCCCCCCCCCCCGCAACTTCTCAGGGCCACCACACCCAGTGGAGGGGTTTTCTCAACCGTGGGCCCCCTGGTGGTGACTTAGGGACGCTGGTTCTCGAACTGTCACAGCAGCACGAGACGAAGCCACATTCCTTTTCGGGGACACGCGTGAGAGCGCATACCCCCAGCCACCCCCAGAGGCCCACGTCCACACGCGGACGCAGACCCTGGGCTCGGGCACACCGGCCGGGCCGTGAAGTGCCGTGACACGCTTGTCAGGGCAGGTGGAATTGAGGTGTGTTTTCCTGTTCGTTCTGCGAAGTAAGACGACTGGCTCTGAGGAGGAAGACGCCGGGGTTTTCAGGGCAGCCCTCGTGGGGGTGCAGTATGTGGAGAACGGGGGCGCGCGAGGGGGCGCCTCGGTGTCCAGCGTCCTTCCGCACTCGCTCCTTTTCTCTTGTCTGTTGTCGCCGGGACCCCGCTGAGCGGTGAGAGGGTGAACGGGCCCCGGCCCCTGGGCAGGCGTCCGGGAGACCCTGACGGCCGGTGTTCACACCTCCCCCATCCCACGTGGCAGGCCTTCAACACTTTCATCGACGACGTCTTTGCCTTCATCATCACCATGCCCACCTCCCACCGGCTGGCGTGTTTCCGGGACGACGTGGTGTTCCTCGTGTACCTGTACCAGCGATGGTGAGTGTGGCCGCCCCTCCCGGGTCTTCTGTGGGCACAGAGGCAGTTTGCAGGTGGCGTGTGTCACCTGCAAGGCCGAGTGAGAGACCACCCCACGGCCTAGTTGGGAAGGACAGGTCTCTGTCTGAGCGACTCCCTCAGTCTCTAAGGAATGCCCCGGCGTGGCGGCAGTCGCTACAAGCACTGTCTGGAGAGCGCGGAGGGGCCGCCACCCCCAGGGCCTGGGGATGGGCACGGAGCTCCGTCCTGACGGTGAACACACGACAGGCGGGCACGAGGGGACTCCAGACATCCCTCCTGCGGCAACTTGGGGTCTCGCGTCCTAACTGCTGGGACTCCAGCCCCTTCGCAGATGGCAGAGCCCGGGGGGCCTCTGTCCTTGCAGGCTGTACCCCGTGGATAAGAGCAGGGTGAACGAGTTCGGGGAGTCCTACGAGGAGAAGCCCCAGCGGAAGCCCCACGCACATTGAGTCCCCGCCCGGCCGCGTGCGGTCAGCCCCTGTGCGGCAGGGCTGGGTTGTCGGCGGAGTATTTTCGGACGCTTCTGGCGGAATTTCCTGGACATTACACCGTGTGCATTGCCAAAACCTGAACGTTTCCCGTCGCCCCCCGAGTCCCTCTGCGTCGTGTTAGGGAGGGGCTCCAGCGGACAGACTTCTGGCCCCCGCATCAGGCTCTGACCATCGGAGGCTCGGCACGGAGGGCGGGGAGCCCGGGCCAGGGGCCTCTCGAGGTGTCCGTGAGTGCTCCCCACACGTGCAGGTGGCTCTTTAAGTCCATTCCTTAGAGACTGGGATCAAACGGCTTTTTTCTTTTTGTTTAAAATTTGACTATTTTAAAGCTTAATGTACGTATGTTTCTATTTTAAAATAAATTTCTTTGGCTGTGACGTTTTTCCTGGCCTGGTGGAGCGTGTCTCCTCTGGCTCACTTTTCCTGTTCTCAGAAACCCACGCACGACGTGGGCTCACGTGTGTGCTTGCCACAGCAGCGGAGGTAAAGACCGCCTCCCCAGCTCTCGAATCGCAAACGTTCCTGAATCTCCGGTGTTGAACGTGTTTTGCACGGTCACCACCTGTCCCCCAGACGGTGTTTTTCAGAAGTGCTCTGGGTTAAGGCGGAGATGAGCTGCATGGCCGGGCGGGCCCGTGCTCCGTGTGGTTCTACGTGTCCGTGAGCACGCGGGCAGCGTGTGCCCTGGGGCTGGCTGTGCACTCCGTCTTCTGCTGTGTCCACCTGGCGTGCTGGGCTCCTCCTCCCGGGGTGAAAGGTGGGGCCGGTCGGAGTCTGAGGAGGCCCAGGCTGAGGGAACACGTGTGCGTCCTACCTGTCGCCACAGGCCACGCACACTGTCGCGGGGGTCTGTTTGCAGTGGAAACCACACGTGCGTGCCACTCAGGAGCCTGTGGCTTCTGGCTCAGCTGTGTGAGCCACACGCAGTGAGGGTAGGAAAACAGTCCACGTTACCCTGATTCAGTTTCGGTGTGAGCACGCGCCAGGAGCCCAGTAAGGAGCGCACAGCGTCCCCCGGGGACTACCCGCCTGCTGCACCCACAGGGCCAGCTGCTCAGAAGGGTGCAGATGTCCCTGCTGGCTCGGCCTGGGGGCACGGCACCTGCCGGGTGCTGGCTGCGTTGTAAGCGAGAACGTCCGGGTGTCCACCTGTGCGTGGGGCCCGCGGGGCCTGGGAGGTTCTGCCGAGGGGGCCCCTGCAGGTCCCGGGACAGCACCACCGAGTGGCTTTCAACAGCGCGCGCGCGCACACACACACATACGTCGCCGGAGCACCCGGCCAGAGCCCAGCCTTTCCCAGCTCCTGGAGGGGCTGCGTCCTCTGTCTGGGTCCCTCCCTCCACACCTGCTTCCCGCCTCCATTCTCCCATCCCCCCTCCCTGAACTGTGGTGGCCACGTCCGGCCACGGGGCGATCCAGGGCCGTCCCCCCGTGTCCGGGCCGTACCGCAGTCTCAACTGCCGTTCCCAGGGCCTGGGGTGGCACGTGCCTGCCGCAGTCCTCCGGTGCCTCCTTGGCACCCCGCCTCCTCTTCTTCCCCCCTTCTGTGTCCTGCCGTCCAGAGTGCCTTCTGTGCCCCACACTGCGGGGGAGCACTCCCTCCGTCTCTTCACACGGCACAGGGACAGTGGAGCAGGAGCGTGTGTGTGTTCTTGTACCCACCACCCAGGTGGGGCTCCCCCATGCCTCCTGGCTGCTCGTCCCCAGAAAGCATTTGGCGACCTTTGTGCCCATCGGCTCCTGGGCCTGTTCCCAGCCCCACCCAGAATCCCACGCTCGACTCTGGCTGCCTGGCTGCTTTGGTTCAGGATTCTCCCTGACCTTCATCCCAGCCGTGGCCGTGGCATTCGTTTGTCCCACGTAGTCTTTAGCAGACTGTGGACAGACGGCAGGGTTTGGCCCACTCTGGTATTGGGAGTGCGTGGGCGTGTCTTCTGTGGACACGGGCGTCCTGGCGAAGCAGAGCCGACGCCCCCGAGCCCCGTGCGGCACACCTGCCTTGCACCGAGTGCTGCCATCTGGTGCCCACGAAGGGCGACCTTACCGAGGCCTGGGTTCGCATTTCCCAGGCAACAGATGGTGCCGAATGCCTTCTCATGTTCCTCCTGTCCATCTCCACACCTTTCTTGGATGAAGGGCCTGTTCTCTCTTTCCCTGTAATCCTGTTTCTAACCGCATTCGTGCCGCCCTGCTGGCCGGAGCGACCTCACATAAGGCCAGGAGTGCG